AGCCAAACCGGCAACACCATAGACGAAAGAAAGAACACTTCAGAACCTGACCAGGTAGTGAATGCCGATTCACGTTAGAATGGACAGGCACTGAAAGTGGAAAAGCGAGGACAAACGAAACATCTGCACGTGATGAAGAGGGAACGTGAAATAAACTTGACAGCCGCTCAACTTGCAATAGAAGAATAATATGATATTAGGGGACCAAATAAAAGAAATGCATTGAGAAAGAGAGAAAAGTTTCTTAGGCTGGAAGATGGAACACGCGCTGGTCATTCAATCGAATTAGCATATGAATTAAGACGTTGACATGAAATTAAGTCTGTGCTAGAATGAAATTATTAAGTAACTAACAATATCGAGGATAAAACCACCATAGCAAACTTTGTACCTGACTTTACTAAACCGCACTGTAATATCCTGAAGGATCGAGCGCAAGTCTAAACGTCAGAGAATACGTACATGCATAATAAGTTTAATTAATATGCGGTATCATCCAATGAAGGATACTGACTGCCATGAGCTATACAGTATAAAACATGGCTTGATATAAAGTACTACATTTAAAGAACTGTATTATAGTCAGATTTGAAGAGTTCTGAACTATTTTAAGGTTCATTCACAGCATTCAGAATGACTGCAATTTTTTATGCAGGTAAAATGTTTCATACTTCTTCTCACTCGAGAGCGGTCAAATATTTACAATATGAAACTTTTTATTCAGGTCCCTGACAAACAAGCAAAGCATGCAGCAGATTTCTGTGCAGATTCCAAATGGCAATTCTGAGCCGTGAATCCTGCTTTTCAATTTTACCTCGACACATCGAGAGGATGCGTGCCTGCGGCCCTGAAAGCACTGATGACTGCAATATCACATGTTGCTCTTGGCAGGATCGCCCATGGTGGTCGACGGGCAAAGGTCATAACAAGACCATTCCGTAACTTATACAATTATGATTCCGTCGTCTAAAGATTATGATGGAAAATCTCACGCCCGGCCGTTAACCGGGGACTCATTCGAATCTTAGGCACAGAAGTTCGTTCTAGGAGTATGACACAGCTTCGTTCTACGTCACAGTCATCAGTCTGCCAGGATAGCACTATCACTTGATTTACCATCAGATTTGAGTTACACTTAGAAGCAGGGTAAAGCCTGAAAGAAATCTGACCCTTAACAGATCCTGGAAGAACCGCAAATCCATCCCCCGTTTTGGTTGAACACCTCATCAAACACCTGTTTATGCTGCTCCAAAAGGAAGAGCGATGCATGAAAGTCAGCGAACCGGTAGCTTGATTGCTTTGTTTACATAAATTGAACAGCTAATGAAAAATTACTTACTTGAACAATCATCGGTAACAATCTTGGTTAGCGTGTAGAACTTGTGCTTATGCTCCATATTCCTTGATACTGATTCGTTCGATCTCCATTGAAACAAAATTTCCGTTGATGGATGAGCAACTAAACTAATCACACTGATTCTCAGGCAAGAAAACTGATAGAGAGAGTAGTACAGGATGAGACGTCAATGTTGCACGTATATTCGTAGCCGCCATTGTCATCCAAGTTCTTCGAGCACAAGAACTCCTCTCGTATTCTATAAGGGTAACATGTTAATTTTATTTTTAATGATATGAAACTGAGGAAATCGAGGCTGCAAATTTTCACAGATTAATTTATTTTGGTGACTGCGAAACTAATTTTAAACAGTTGGAATCTCGTCAATTCGTCAAGTTTAAATGCTGACTTCTCATATTTTGCATACTCATGAGCAGCATTTCTGTATTGATTTTGCACGTTTTAATCAACAAACATTAGAGTGACTGGTGTTCTTTCTTTTCCGTTGCTCGTATTATCGTTCAAATGCCGTCTGAGTCTTCTTTGAACTCAACTTAAGGATCTTCCTTCTCTGTTCAGAAGGTAAACATACGAAATCATAGAAAAATTTCACTACCCATTCCGCATTGATAACTTGACGTGCTGCAATCACATCATTGAGAAGCTTTTGGTGATAGATAAAATTTACTTTAGTTTCAAGCCACAGCCAAACTCAGAACAGCATGAAATGCAGTTTATTTATACACAGTTTGGTCATTGGGATGACTTACAGTACCGATGCTTGAGGCGGCTTTCCACGGGCCTTCGTCAAGGAAGGGAGGTAGGTGAGCTTCGGACGTTCTTTTGTAGTTCATGGCAGTCCATAGGTTCTGAGCCAGAAGGTAATTTTTGGTCCATTCCGTAGTTAAGTAGTTTTCTGACGGCAGAGATGACAAGACTCATAAAATCTACTTTCTTTACAATTAGTACAAACAGTAGTTCTGGGTCAGTGACTCCTTAATTTAACATTATTCAGTCAAAATGTTACTGATTTTGTTTTTGTTTCCTTTGCTGAAGGGTAACTTCCGGTTAGTTTAATAAACAAACTGCGCTGCCTAGGTTTAAAGGTTAATTCGTAAACGCCACGGTTTTTCATCATGATAAAATTCAGATATGCTTAAAGCAAATAACAAATAAAAGAAAAATTTAAAAATTGTCAGAAAATCCAGACTCGAAATACTGCATGAGAGTTACACGATATACAAAAGAAACGACATGTATAACGTGCAACCGTTTTGGTATCATAAACTCGAACTGGCAAACGAATGTCCAAAATTTACTGTTCAACTAATGACCTGAACAACGCAGAAACACTTACCACATGCGCTAACCCCCTCCTCCCACCACTTACTGACCTGGTTAAGTACTAAATATGGCTAAGGAGTTTAGCATGATGCTTGTTTAATAAACTCCTTAAAAATAACCCACTCTGCAAAGCGGGCCAATAGGCTTTGTTACCGTTTCCAGCCAACCTCACCAGCGGTCGTTTCTTGAGCACTACAATCACCGGTTCACAAGTGCTCATCCGTCAGATTCTCCGCTTATTTCACAGCGAAATATCGTATATAAAAGTTATTTGAATACCCAAAACCTGTAAGTAAACTTGGTGCCATATCACCCTCGGTCAGCACAAGAATGTTTTGCGTTACATTCAACTGTGACTTCATAAAGATATGATTTACATACTGGAAAATACGCATCTCGTCATCAGTACACAGTGCACCATTAAACTGTGTCAAGGGATCGATAAATTTCCGGGAATGGACGGCTCATTCCTAGTTGTGTGCCGGGTGTCCAACCAGATGTTAAGCCATATGATTTCTTCTTGGTCGTAAGCCGGTCGACCAACCACATATGGAGATTTAAGGCGCGTTACAATGCTTATTGGTGCTCGGACATGGAAGTGCATGGCAAGACAATTTGGACATAATTCTGGAGTACTTCGCTACCTCCTAAACATCATAAACTATTTTCTACTAGCCGTGCTTAACGGCTGCTCGACGGTGAATTGTGAAACCTGACAGCAACAAGTCTGCTGGCGCAGAATAATATTCAAACGCTGGAATGCGAACCGGAAGGCGACGTTCCACCCAATCATGAGGAGCTTAAAACCATACCCACAGAGGGTGTCTCCGGCCACGCTTGACCGCTATCAATCAGAGGACTACAGAAAGACAACGAACGACGGCGTCCGGCGATCTTTCGATCTTTCTGCATATCCCTGACCATTCGTGCAATCTCCTGCGTATTAAAATTATTGTGGTGTTCGTACGCTACAACGTCGAAAACCGCGAGCACGGCAAAATGTAAATCTAAAGACAGGAGGGCTCCACGACGAAGACAAGCACATAACTGCATGCTGGCTGATTTCATGAACATCGTAAAAGTAAAACGATTAAAATAACAACACAGTAATCATTGTGCGACTGTTCATAGAGAAGAATAAAACAGGAAAGCCTTTTTTACCTACTGCTCGTTTTGATCGTGCCGTCTGGAAACAACTGGATTAGCGAGTAGTCTTTGTCGTAGCTGTATCTGCCACTGGTTGCCTGATTGGCAAAGTAGATGTCCGGCAGCCAAGGTCGTATCTCGGCATCGTCGAAGCCGTCCAAAAGAATCGGCACGTGAATGTTCATGTTTTCGCTAAGTTTTTCATAATTCAAACGTTCATCATGCCATGTTTGCCGTAGCATGAACTCCGCACCTATGGTCTACAAAGACGGCCAAGTGTAGCATAATAAACTAGGTCATGATGCAAAGTTGGCTGACTAATTTACAGATGGACAGAAGTATACACAACCAAATGTTTTAGTAAGCCAGTGTAGTCAGTGCAAGTAGTGCAAAACTCCTCCAAGACCAGATTTTACGGCTTACCCTACCACCTCTTTCCTCATTACCGATTGAGAGGCATTTCAGCAGATGACGGCTTCATGGCATTTGATCACCTCTACGGCCAGATCCATTTCACATGATTCTGCTAGCTCGCCTACACTCATCACAAACGTTGTTTCAGGAGCTGATACTCCCATCCTATGCTATGTATAAACATAAAAATATGATGATGTCAAATGCATGACTGCTCCAGGACCAGAGGAGAGATATTCTATATGATGAAGAGTAAATATGATTCGTTGTGATCATACTGATACCTTGAGCTCTTTACGTTAGCACAGCAGAGAAACATTTCGTAAGATTTAATTTCGGCGAAAGATTTGCCTCTGTCCTGTTATTAAATACTGCGTGTATAAACTGCCATTTTTGTTGTCCCATTCGACATTAAAAGCTTGTTGGACTGAGTAAGAGCTTATGCTCTCAACTTATATATGTGTCGACTTTCTGAAAGCCGAGAAATGGCAGGTAAATTCGGTCGAAATGTCTCGTTTGTAATCGTGCGTCGAACGTGGTATCGAACAGCTGGATAACAAGCAGAAAACTAGAATTATAAAGAATAAAAATGTACCCTACGCGACGAGAACAAATGGGAGGGTACTTACGCCGCTTCAATCCGGTATCATGAGCCAAAAAAAGAAAATAGGATTTATACACAAAAACAGAACCCGATCCTATGGGTTTACTAGCATACTGCTAGTTACCGATACCGCCGCTGATATGTTCAATGCATTAGTTGTCGATACCGGATTGAACTATTTTTGTGTATAAATAAGCCAACCGATCGTGGTATATCTGCAGGTGTCCGAACAGGTCCTTGTTCGGCCCTGCCTAGTAATGCGGTTCTGCATCCGTGTACTGCAGACGCTCAAGTACCGTGGAGTTATGGCCTTCTTAAATGGTGCCCTAGGCGACTAGAAGCAAGGGGACGGTGCTTACGCCGCTTCAATCCGGTATCGACAAATAAAATGGATTCATTTGTAATTTCATTTAAGCAGTACAGTATTCTTTCGTTTATTCTCTCTTTCTTAACTGATTGATTGATTCATTAACTCATCTGGCAATACACTCCAGAACACTGCTCCAGTTTACGAAGCTGTTCACCATTTACTAATACATTTAGTGCTGAAAACAAGAATGACGTAGTCGAGTCAGTTGGTCATTCGAAAAGATAACGAGTCTAAGGTTTACCTTAGCCTCTTCTCCAACATGGTACAGATTCTTGAAGTAAACGTTGACGCTGATCTGAGTTGGTGGGCACGTGTCTAAAAACAGAAACTAACCAATTTTGGCATAAGCGAAAAAACATGCTTACGTATGTAAATTATTTCCACTTCTGCGGCCAAGAAAAATATTTAATTACCAGACTTAATAGACAGAATTAAAGGCAGCGAAATAATATTCAGTTCTGAAATATGGAGTAATGGGTTACCATTCCTACTAACATAGCTGATTTCATATTTTCTGCATGGCACTTACGCTGTCCATGCTCGGCGTTCGCGTTGCAGAGAGCTGATAATGACGAACGCACGAATCGCATGACGGGATAAAGTACAATGTATCATACTCCTGTATCACTAGAGTATCAGTGAGACCCAATTGTGAACGTTCACATGGCTGGGCAAAACTACCCTATGTTGACAGGACTTTCCATACATTTTAAGAAACGCTTGCCTAAGAAGGAGCACTCAACTACAAGTCGGAGTGGTGGAAAGAAAGGGGGACATTATGAGGATTAATTCATGAATGAAGCACATGAAAAATGTTTCGCTCCGCTGTTCATCTTCCACGCTGAGGATGGTGGATGGTGGCTGATGGGCATGGCAAACACTACTTGGCAGATAATTTCAGGAAAACGAGAAAATAGCATCAGTCTCGACTTGACTCTTCATTGTTTAAAAAATCATGTTTAAAAAGTAGGACTTAATTTGCATACGTCTTCATTCTGTGAATGAAATATGACATTTGTCATATGTCGAATAAACATTTTTCTAATATCAAAAGGCTTCCCATGGAACACTGATGAATGCTCTATAGCGCAGTCTTTTGTAATTGCCACCGACTAATACCTTTTCCATCCATTGCCAGGTGAATACATGACCAATACTTTGCCATAAACTCATGTTTTCTGCAATTCTAATCCGCTCTGATCCAACGAACCTCTTCAGCTCACTCTTCTATCGATCTACAGGTCTTCCTACAGTCTGTATACTCCCTTGAAACCCAGTCCGATGTTTCCTTGGCTCGGTGGTTCAACGCTTCCTATCCATTTCCTCTTAGGCTTCTTCACTCGTGCGATGCCATCGCAGACTTCTGCTGGTACTCTAATCAATTTGCTAGTCTTAATACCAATACCCGATTGTTTTGTTCTATATTATGTTTTATTCTTATTCACAGGATGCATCCATATATGCTGCAAATCGCAGTTTGCATTTTACAAATAGCTTTCAGGCTTCGGGTCCATGTTTCACAGCCACAGAGCAGCAATGGAAGCACACACTGCTCGTACGCTTTCTGTTTCGAGCATTAGCACAGTTTCCAGGAACAGAACATTTTAAATCCTGGAAAAAGTGCTCCAGGCCATGTTTACTCTTTTGCTACTTTTAACGAGTCGGTTCTCCGTTGCGAAGATGAACTGCGCCAGATAAACATAGTTTTGCGCCTCTTCAAGCCTGTTCACATATGTGCTAAACATGACCTACGTCTTCCTCAGGTGTTAATATTGCACTGTATTAGTCACTGAAACCGCGAAGAGGTTTCGAGGTCAAACTTTTAAGAAAGTCATAATTCCAGAGCATGGATGCGCAAAATGAAACTCATTCCAGTCACGCACCTCTCGCCAACGAGTTAACCACCGGATAAAAACTAATAACTAACTGACAGGGCTCTTTGGGTAAACAAGCAAAAATATCGTGATTGATTAGAACTGAAGGCGATGCGTTTTTTAGGTGTAACTGGAAGTTGCATTCCAGAAGTTAAGAGCCATCGTCGTTATCTGGAAAAAACCTGCAACTCATAGCTACGAAAACTTACCGTCGCTTATTATGTAATACCTAAAGCTCCAATGGCTCACAAAGTTCTACGTTTAGCTGGTTAGAAACCACAAATCGCTAATCATACCGTGAGACTTGTGAGATCGACAAAGAAACGCTTATCGCAAATTGTTCAACCCCACAATCATTTTGTTTTTATTATAACCAAAGTGTGAGAAGCAGCAGAAGCTTTTATGTAATCTACTGCACGTGATCAGGAAAAAAATCTAATAAGGTTAATTGTCCATCCGATATTACCAGTTTACACAACCAAAGACAAAGTTTTAAACACAAGGAAACGGACAGATAGCAGTTTTGATTTATTTGCCAACGTTTCAGCTAAACTTTGTTGGCCATCGTGTCAAGGCAAACTCCCCTCTAGTCTCTTTCATAATACTAACCATGGCGATGGGTCATGTTACGCATAAGTTCGTCCTCGAAACATGCAAAATAAACCCATATGAGTTGTCGATGTGGTTCAACCTACCCCGCAACACTACTCGGGGAAGAACAGGCATTTTGGTGTCACCTTGCCAGGCCTCTATTTGCATGCACATAATAATGTCACTGTTTAAACTAATATTTTAGATTTATTGCCATGCTACATTTGCAACCAAAGTCAAATGGCAAAGGTGAACTACAAACAGAGGTTGACTTCAAGCACCAAAGTTCCAAAAGGGTGTTTTTCAGTGAATTTTTCTCCTGCCTCATCACATTACCCATTTACAGATTCTGCAGACAGCAAAGAATCATCAGAACTGCTTCACTTCTATTTCTAAAAATGGCTCCTTTCAGATTTTTCTAGTTCAGCAGTCATGTACGAATGTCCTCGATTTGGACTTGAACTGGTTTCGCTAAACTTTACTCGTGGGTATTAAATAAGTTCCAGATTAGATCTTTCCTTATGATCTTTCAGTCATACACAATTTAGAATAACGTTGCTTATTTTTTTGCTAACCTTTCATCTAGACATGATCGAACGGTGACTCATTAAGCGAACGGAATCTTTTACGCACGCCTCATTCGCTACTTTACAGACCTCGTACATCAATCG